CAATGAGATCGAGTAGAATCCGAGCTCAACAAGTAAAGCGAACTTAATGACAAGCCCTAGGCTCGCACTTCAACACGTCACGTTTCCGGGCATGCCACGTCTTAACAGCGTGGGGAAAAGAAGCTCACCGCACCGGTACTTAAATTGTCGCGCGCGACGCCGCGTGGTCCTACTGTTGTATACTCGGGTAAACCGAATGCGAAAGCCTTCCGCCATGAGGGGTACTTGTCATCATTGACGGGTCATGAGACGTTCTGACGTGTCCGTGAACGTAATGAACTGTGAACCTAAGTTAAATTTGTGCCCAAGACTTTTTCCTTGCGCCACCCGAGGACATTCCATCCTTTTTCTGTAGTTATTGCATTGAGCTGACGTGATGTTCATAATGTATACTTTTACAGGAGTCTCACCCTCCACAAATGGATCGATAACTTCACATTCTCGTCAACAGCAGTACAATCCTACCACGCCGTCACCGAACAGTTCAATGTTATATATTCCGATGAAGACAAGGTTGACCATCCTGTCTCGGGAACGATTTCCAGCATTCTGAAGATCCCTCCAGAGAATATCACCATTTTCTGCATAGGAAAGCCTGCATGGCTAGTCAAAATCGATCGACCTGAGGAGGCCATCACGTCAGAATCAGATCTCACAGCCATTACTGTGGAAGTACTGAAACTTCTTTTGGATTTGACCCAACCTATCAAATCTATTGAACAAATACAGTATCCGGTGGCATGCTTCGGAGCACTCAAATTTGTAGCAAAAGTTAGAGATGGCGTTTGCAACTTGAGCATCTATGGACCATTTGGATCTCGATGTTGCAACTGGACCGATATTCGCATGGAAAGTGATGAACCAGCTATGGAGGTCAGTCTGCTAGAACAAGAGTCTTCTGACGACAGCCCAACTATCAGATGTCTAGCGAAAATTGGGATCAATCACGATGGCATCGACCGTCAAGAGACCTTCACGTCGATGGGATTGGACTCGCTACAGTGCGCCGAGCTGGAGATCGCGCTACAATCACAATTTCCTCAGTACAACATTCCTACAGGCATTGCAATGAGGAAGCCGACCGTTGAAGAGATGGACGCTTATCTTATGTCGTGTGATGTTGCCTATAAAATCAACAATAAAGATGTCGATGCTTATTCTGGTCATATTCCTTTGTCACCTCAACAGAGAGGTTTGCTGTTTATGAGTGAACTCGAACCCCACACAAGGGCGCAATTCAATGAGCCTGTAGTTTTCACGACGAGCAAAGAAAATTTCAATCAGTCGCGGTTTCGGAAGGTTCTGAACTCTCTCGCAATGAGGCACACTGTCCTCCGTACTTCCTATTTTGCGAATGGTCAGACGGTTCTGTCAGGCACAGAGGCATTTTTTGCCTGCGGAAGATCGTCGATTGCTCCGCAGAATTTTGTACAACTTTCTATTGACGTAAGAAACACGAGTATGAACGCGATGGTTTGGGATTCAGCTGGTCGCACAGTGGTCTGCCTGGTCTTTCACCATATCGCTGTCGATGGTCACTCAATTAACATCATTACGCGAGAAATCGGAGCGCTGTATTCGGGAGAACGACTACCCCTTCCAAGGCGACAATATGCAGATTACGCCATTGAAACTGCTAGTCTCAATTATGAGATGAAGTTGGCGAAATGGCGAGAGCACTTAAAATGTAGAGAATTTCAACTTCTAGTCACTGATAAACCGAGAACGGCTAAGAGAACATACAATGGAGCATCAATCCAAAAGCGAATACCAGCTACTCTGCAGAACTCTTTGAAGAAGCTCCGACAGGCAGCTAATTGCACAAATTTTTGTATTTTCGCTGCTACCTACAAGTTTCTCGTCTACAAAACTTACGGCATATCGGATTTTCCAATCGGCTTCCCTTCGACGTTAAGAACAAAGGAACACACTGATACTGTCGGTTGTTTCGTGAATATGGTACCGCTTGTGGAACTATTAGATCCTTCACAAACACTGGCTCAGTACCTGAGCCGCATTTCGGCTGCCATTGCTGAGGCGAAGAGCATGGACGTCCCTCTGGATGTGCTTGTCAGCGGCCTAGGAATAGAACGAGACGATAACGTATCGCCGCTCTTTCAAGTTCTTCTCGTTATGGACAGCGTTCAACTGCCTTCCACCGAGAGCGATATTTCCCTGCTAGAGTGTCCTACACGTTTTGCAAAATACGAACAAACATGGTACTTCCGAAATGACGGTAAATCCATTTATATCTGCGTCGAGTACAATAGCGATTTGTTCAGACAGCAAACAATCGAGGACTACATGGATCGGTTTCTTTTCATCCTCAAGACGTTCCAGGAGCTCCCTCCACATCAGATGCTAAAGGATATAGCGATAACCAAACATAGTGAGCTAAGGTCAATCTACGAGAAAAGGAGGGGGAATACCTTCGACATTCCAGAGATTACTGTTCTTGAGATGTTCTATAGGAATTTATCGACAAAGAGCTTGATCAAGTACAAGAAAGAGAGAATGAGCTACGAAGAACTCAATGATGAAAGCTCAAAGATGGCTGATTCCATCACAAGTGCTTATTTGTCCCATTACGGAGAGCTGCCTTCAAGAGACAGATGTGCCGCTGTGTTTATGGAACGATCGCTCGATCTGTTAGTGATTATTTTCGCTATTTGGAAAAGTGGAATGGCTGCCGTGCCTCTCAGTCTCGATTTGCCTCCGCAGCGCGTGATTAGCATGCTCGAGATGCTCACCAATCCCATTTTGATCACTACAAAAAATGGGCAGCTCTTGAGTTCCGCCAAGCACATGGGCGTTCCGGTTCTGGACCAAAAGCTGCACAAAAGGCCAGCGAGTTCGAAACCTTAATCGAATAACGCTCAGCGACATGGCCTACATCACCTGCACCTCTGGGACAACTGGGAATCCAAAACTAGTATGCACCGAATTCTCAGGTCACAGCAATCTCGCAGCAGCTTACACGGAGACTTTCCTTCTGCACAATAAGTCGCATGCTTATCAGGTGGTCAACTACAGTTTTGACATTTTCTTTGCCGATTTAACCAAGACGTTCGTGAATGGCGCGTCAATCACGCTGGCTGAAGGACTCATCCCAAACATTGCCGAGATGGACGGCGTTACGAACGCCTACATCATGCCTGCGTACCTTTCATCGTTATCGACGTCAGATATTGAGCGACTGAGCTTTCTGGAGTCCATCCACTTTGGAGGTGAGGCAATCCAACCATCAGCTCTTCGGCTTCTCCTTCAAACTGGTGTGGACATCTTTCACGAGCACGGTGTGACGGAACAAACCGTGTTTACGATGGCAAATCGAATGCACGTAAACAATCCCATTTCCGAAATGGGACCTCCTTACCGCAACCTGCACTGTCTTTTGAGAGATGGCGATCAACAACTTCTTCCAGAAAGGTACCCGAGCATTTACTACGTGAACGGTTGTGGTCTATTCAGAGGATACTACGGCAATGAGGAGCTCAACGCCAAGACGCTGAGGAAAGGAATTTTTGGAAAGGAAATGCGCACCGGTGACGTTGTGAAGTGCGAGCATGGTCGACTCCATTTTCAAGGACGTAATGAATTGCAAGTGAAAATAAGAGGTCGACTCATCGATCTACTTGAGGCGAGTTAAGTTTCTAAGTTTCCAACCACAGATAATTGAAAATTCTAAAAATTCAGATACAACATGAGATAGCATCGTGACGCATGCACGGTCGTCGTTCACGAGGAGAATGGTGTCAGAGAGCTTGTCGCCTACGTTATCCTCAACAGCGATGGTTGCTGGTCAGCAGATGCGTTGGTGTACTCCTGAGTGAGCGACTTCCTAGCTATTGTGTCCCCAAGCACTTCGCTGCGCCGCTGAAGAAGTTTCCATTGAATCAGAACGGGAAAATCGACAAAAAGCTTCTGCCAAAACCGTTGCGTCAAACATCTATCACCAACTCACGACCACCTCAAGGAGAGCTAGAAACGGTCGTTGCTGATTCGTTCAAGAAATACACTCAAAGAGATTTCATGGCTGATGAATGCTTCTTTGACTTCGGCGGTGATTCCGTGAAGGTACGTCGTTACTAGAACGTACTGTGAACAAGTTGTAACTCAAAATAATCTTGCACGTAATACGTAAAGCAGATCCAGAGAAAACCACGACTTCCTTTGAATTTTCGCTCGATTCTGAAACGACGTTCAATCATGTGCGAGCATGATTTGAACTTATCTGTCATGATGGAAATGCCGCGAAAGGTAAACAAGTGTAAGGAAGGAAGCTGTTGACCAAGTGACTGGCAAGGGCTCAGTCTTCGGAATACGCGCAAATTGCTCGCAATGCACAATACCGTGAGGGGAACAAGCGAGTGTCCCGTTGGGCAACAAATGTCAAAATATTGGGAGAAAAATAAGTGCTGCAATAAGGCTCGTCAATGAACGAAAATGCTAAGAGAATCAAAGCAACTTTTTGCACTTCTCGATGTTCGCAAGAACGTCCCTTCCAATACACTCGAAATCCTGGGATGGGGTAGGCGTAGCATTGCGCTTAACTAGATGTGGCCGTTTTGCTGTGCTTTCCGTGAGATGTTTTCGTTTTGGCATAGTTATGAGTCATGTCTCTGTCTGACGCTGAACAAGATGACAGTTGTCCCAAACCTAAATATCTAGTGAACTTCTATGGGCATTCATGTTCAAAGGGGGCGGGTGCACTCCACCCGTCGTTTAGAATAGTTATATCTAGAAACTAATCACCAGAAATAAAAAAAAAATCGTAATTTGGTCCCACCAGTTCGCAAGTGTGAGGCATACCCGTTGTGGGCGGAGCGTGCGTCCAGGTGGGCGGCCCGATCTCAGAACTTTTAAGCTGTTCCAGAAGCACCTCTAGGCAAAGTAGACCTCCTCGGTCATACGGCTCCGCCCTTGGGGCGTGCTCTAATTGCCCCACCCTGCGTTAGTATGATCAAGATTCTCCGACTAATCGCCCGACTTTTTTCTAATCTGTCCACTTGATCAACGCTCCCTATCACCATTGAATACACCGTAAGTAGTGTTGAAAATAGCGCGTATGATGTGGAGTATGAACATGCTATTGGTCAAAGAATGTTGACCATCTGTTCAAATAAAAGAAAAGCCGCGATACCTTAGGTAGGTACTGGAAATGTTGAAGAATATAGAGCGCGTGCCGCCCAGTGCTCGGCGAAGCCGTGCTGTAATCCAGAAGGGGGGGGGGGGGGCGCCGGCGTCACCGGCCAAAGCCTGGCTGGTTCTACGAATATTAGTGAGCGTTTCATTTCTTTCAGCTCAGATATGCTTCTAATTCTTTTTGCGTATCATTGACTTGCCATCAGTCACCGTTTTGAGCCTAGTCCGTTTGCAGTATCACTGACTTTGCATTCAATTCACGCGTTATGACGCTAATCATGGAACACCTACAATGAAAGTGGTCAGAGATTCGATTGCTAGCGAATAACGGCAAAGACTGGTCTAAACGAGTAAGAACTTTGGCTCAAAAAGTAAAGAGGCGTCCCCTGCAAGCCACCGTAGACGCGCGGAAGTAGAAGTAGGTCGATACAATGTGGGGCTACCGTACGTAGCGAATTCGCGATCAGGTCCCAGCTACCAATGTAGTAGTTCTGGCGGCGCATCAACGTCTCCTGACTCTCCGGCGTCTGCGTTGCCGTCCTTGTCTAAGCGCTTTTTCTGTCTGCCCCGACTTGGAAGCAACGCTCCCCTTCCGTATCTGATTACGCCAATGAGAAAGTGTAAGTAAGTCAGTTCCTGAAGTATTTTGGGCTTCAACATAGTAGTTCTGAAAGAGTGTACACAGCCACAAATGAACACAACTTTCTGAGCTCGTGCTCCTCAAAGACAAACTGTAAGCTCGCGCTTAACCATGTGCTAGGTGAATCGGTTCGCAGCTGCGGAATCGCTCCTGTTTCTCCTTCCAAAGGTGCACGGGAGCAGGGCTGGATGGCACTGATACGCAGATACATCCTGCCGACTCCATCCGCGCTATCCTCAAATTGCAGCACTTGCGTTGACTCCAAAGTCCCGCAGAAAACGCCTGGTGAGAGGTAAAGAACAAGTAGAGGTGAGAGGGTACAGACAATGAGCATTTTGGCTGAGGTTAGGCGCGTTGCTGGCAGTGCAGCAGCACGAGCGAAGTGGGGGAACGGCACCAGAAGGTCTCTAGCCTTCGCCGTTTCCGTGAACTTTTGAGCGGAGAGAGTGGCACGTTGCTGCAGCTACGGGGCCCTTCATCTCGCACATGGCAAGAATGAGAGTCCACGGAGGTAGGACCACAGTTTGTCTTTAGCGAAGTCAATTACGGCTCCACTGTAGGTTGGGTCACTCTAACCATGATCGACTCTCCATTAATCTCGGCATGATGACAGCAATATTCACAGAAATTTATTTAGCAATCCGAGATTGTTACAAATCCTTTACCAGACTGACGTTTCGGCAGTATTGCCTTCTTCAGAGCCTGCAAATCGAAACAATTCGTCCTAATCCCATTTCAGATTGCATAGTGAAACTCAAGGTAAAGCAGTCTATGAAAACATCGTGAACAGGGCTAACCTTTTGAGGAGATCGTTAGTAGTCGGCACCCTGAGCTTAAGGATCTGGTAGTGAGGCTTTTATATGTATTTGGAACGCAATAATTAGGGTCAAACTGCTTTTGGGAAGATTTTGAATTTAATTGGGCCGGGTCAAAGCGCCGTAAGGAGACCCCCCCCCCCTCTCACATAACATAGGACGAATTGTTTCAAAAATAGGTTTCGATTTGCAGGCTCCGAAGAAGGCAATACTGCCGAAACGTCAGTCTGGTAAAGGATTTGTAACAATCTCGGATTGCTAAATAAATTTCTGTGAATATTTAATGTTCCTACATCACTCTCTGGTTCAATCTTTGAGAGTTCACTTTCCTGTAGTTAGTTCCCAGAACCCAAGGGAATCAGGGTGTGTGGTGATTCTATCGTCGGGTCGTCGCGCCGGTGGGCGGAGCGAGGCGGCGTGGCGGCCGCCGCGTACGAGTTTTGTTGCGTGGCGTTCAAATTGTTAAAGGGTCGACGATCCCTTTAACAATTTGAAAGAGGCACAGCTTGCTGTGGCCGTTGCTCCAATGACAACTCGGGAGTACGGTAATGCAACTCCGGGATTGCCGCGTCGCGGCGTGCCGCGCAGCGACGCGGCGCGGCGTGTGCGGCGTCGCCTGACTTGCCGACGATAGAATCGCCCGGGTGCCAGGAATTTTCTTTTCAAGGCAAAATAGTTATGAAAACGCGGCACTTTCCAGCTAATTTACTTACTGAAGCACCTTCGCGTCAGATGCATTAGCGTAGCGATGTCATGCGTGCGATGCCATTCGAATCGCCAAAACTGGAATCTCTTGGCTGACACCTGTAGAACATGATCGTAATTCAGATTATAGTTTCCAATCATTTGATATTTCAGGCAATGCTGGTCGTGCAAGATCTCGCGGCACGTGGATACAAACTGGAATTGAGCACACTGTTTTCTTTACGCACAGCTGAGAAAATTGCCAACCATCTAGGAACGAAAGAGCAATCAAGAAGAGGGACGTCCGAGATGCCGAACAAGGATTCTTGCAGTTTCGAGACTCCGCTCTCGCCTCAGCAGAAGCGACTGTGGTTCTTGGCGAAAATGTATCCGGACCGCGATTCCTACATGATCCGCCTTCAAATCAGCTTCAGTGGTCAAGTAGACGTGATGAGACTGAGGCACTCTTTCAATGCCGTCGTGATTGGCCATCCAGCTTTGAGATCAAACCTGGACATCTCTGGCAACGAACCCCTGTTAACCCGACTTTCGGGTACAGAATGCTTTCATGACCTCACGCAGCAAGATGAAGAAAACTCTTTACTGGATTTGTCTTCTCTAGTAACGGCACAGATCGCGAATAGCTCCCCAAAATATCCTGTTGGATCTGAGAATTCACCACCTCATTTGTGACGGTAGGAGCTTGGCTATCATTGGTGAACAGCTGGCTGCAGCTTACAACGGTGCCCGTATTGTTACTGGCCACACTCTTCATGAGCAAGAGGAGGATGGTTCTCTTGATTTTTGGAGAACATATCTGTCAGATTATGAACCCCTTATGATCCAAGCAGAAGGCGACGTGGAAGCATTTGATGGTGAAGCAGGCTACATTGAAGTTGTGCTCGATTTTGTCAAGGAGCATGACATGAGGGAAGTGTGTTCCACTTACGGCTGCACACCCTTTCAGATCCTAGTGCTCTGCTATGTCGAAGCTCTCAGAGCAGTTCAGGACACGAGCGACATTGTGATTGGGACAACCATAGCGAACAGAACTCCAGAAAACATGGACGTGGTCGGCCTCTTCGCCAACACGATTCCGCTGCGTTTCCAGGAAGAATTTGTTGGTTTTCCTGAGCACTTGAGTTATATTGGGCGCCAGGTGCTATCAGCTATGGAACATCAAAGCACACCTCTTGCAAAAATCATTGAAGAAGTCGTCGTAGATCGTGACGCAACCTCACCTCCTCTCTTTCGACATGTCCTTACATTACTGAACGCCTCTATCCTGGAGCTGCCTAAAATGACAGGAATACAGTCAGAAGTCACTGAGCTACGGAGCAGTTTCACGCAATTCGATCAGAGTTGGATTTTCCATCAAGGGAAAGAGCTCAGCCTAGTGATTCAATATGACAAACATCGCTGTTCTACAGCGCTGATCAAAAATCTTCTGGATCACTTCAAATTCCTCTTGAATCGTATTCTGAAGCGGAAGCCTATCCGCCTGCCCGTACTCTCGATGACCGATTTGCCAACGAATGACACTCCTCGATGCAAAAGCTTGGGAACAATCTTCGATAAGCAAGCCGCTCTGTTACCATCAGGCATTTGTCTTCAAAGCAGCAGTGGGAATTTCAGCTTTGAAAACGCTGTGGATGCTTCCAGGAACTTTGCCTATGAAATAGAAGCGACCATTCTTCAGCACACTGCAGAACTTCCTAGAGCTGACGACGTAATCTGTCTCATTCTCCCAGAATCCATCGAAAATCACATCGCCATAGAATCTGTGCATTTGCTCGGTTGTGCCTATCTGTGCCTTTCTCCAGATACTCCAATTGAAAGGATACAGTACATACTGGCAGACTGCCAAGCCAAACTTGTAGTCACACACCTAACCCTAAGAGGGATTTCGGTACCAACTTTGTCCCCAGAACCCTCGTTTGAAAGAAAAGTCTGTTGGTGGCCAAGATCCTGTTCAACATCTCTTGCCTATTTGATTTACACTTCGGGTACTACAGGCACACCCAAAGGCGTTTGTGTAAGTCATCAGAGCACGCTGAATATGTTGAAACATGCGACAAGACTGTACAATTTCCGGCCTGGTGGACGTGTACTGCAATTTACGAAAAGCTCTTTCGATGCAAGCATCAGCAACACTTTCGGATGCCTCCTGAATGGAGGCATTCTGAGCATCAGAGACGAAAACGCTGACGTTGTGCAGGACTTGGCTAAGTACCAGCCAATTACGGTGCTCCACATGACTCCTATCGTCATGGAGATGTTTGATGAGCAAGACTTAAACCAGCTTTCAGATGTGGAAATCTGGAGTTATGGTGGGGAAACCATCTCGGAATCAACGCTGAGTTTCATGATTGATCGAGGGCACCGAATGGTTCAACTTTATGGACCAACTGAGGTCACTTGTTATCAGACATCACTCAAGATGAGGAGAGGGCATAGTCCCACTTGTATAGGCCATACCATTCCTGGCTTGCAATACGGCCTCTGCTCGTTTAGTAACCCGATAGTTCAGCGGAAGAGTGTCGGACAATTCTTTTGCACCGGAGAGAACCTCGCAAGGGGGTACACTTCAACAGCGGACCGAGGATTTACAAAAAATCCATTTAGAACGTTTGAGGATCGGGTTTTACGGAGGAACCATAGAATGTACCTCGTTGGTGACAGGCTAAAACGAGATGAAAAAGAATATTTGCACTTTCTTGGACGAAATGATGACCAAGTCAAAGTAAAGGGACACCGCGTTGAACTATCAGAAATAGAAGCTGCGGCGCGAAGTGTTGATGGAGTGACGAATGCTGTGGCTGTTATTCAGAAAGACAGGACAGGGTCCAACCATATTGTTTTGTTCTACTCAGGACCAGCCAAAGAACCATTGGCAGTACTCGGACGGCAAATCCCGCCAGCTATGCTACCATCCAAAGTCGTTCAAGTGGCCGAGTTTCCTTTGACTTTGAACCACAAAATCGACAGAGCTAAACTGTCTCTGGGAGCGAGCTTCTTGTCTTCTTCTGAGGACAAAGAGGAACCTCGCGACCATGTTGACCAACAAGTCCTGAACGCTTACCGGGAGGTTCTCCAACAGCACGAGTTGGATATAAGCTCGAACTTTTTCCAAGCGGGAGGTCATTCACTACTTGTTGTTCAACTGGTTTCTGCCCTCAAGAAATCACTTGAGGTTTCAGTTCCCATAGTGAAAATTTTTGAGTTCCCTCGTGTGAGAGATTTGGCAGACTGGGTCAGAAGCGTTCAGAACGTTCTTCCTGAAAACCGTGTTTTAAACTACTTGGAAGACCATGGCCAGCCTTCTCCTTTGCAAATAACTCTTCTCCGTTCCTTCAGGAATCCAAAAATACAAGCTCTGTATGATATTTCGTTTACTGTCGCTCTGAAGAAGCCGTTAAGCGCGAGGACTTGTGTAAAAATCGTGAATCAGTTGAGCATGATCCATCCTTCTCTTCGAACCCGGTTCACCAGGATTGGCAGAGGATATTCTCGAGAAGTTCTCTCTGGAACTGAGTGCTTCCAGAACATGGATATTAAGACGGACGTCGGACTCAACCCTCTCGAGAAACCTCCCTTTTTGGCCAGCTTCGACGGCAATAGTATCTGTATTGTTGTGAATCATATAATCGTTGATGGACACTCGATGCAAATTATTGTGGATAGCTTGGCTCAGATACTGAATCGCCAGAAAGTTACAATGGATGATGGTCTCATGCTCCATTCCTGGCTGCGGGAGCGGTTCCAAAACTCGAAGGAGGATGACGTAAAGTACTGGAAAGGCCTGTTGAAAGAATACGTATACAATCAATTACCGACAACGTTTCCTAGATTGGTAGTCAACAGTTCAGAAGCGGGAACATTGGTTTTACCCGGTGGTCAGCTAACCTCGAAGGTCCAGTCATGGATCCAACGTTACGGCTGTTCTCCCTTTGTGGCTGTACTCACCCTTCTGTCAAGAACTCTCCAACAACACAGCTGTGACCCTCAACTTCCGATCGCCATAGGATTTCCTGTCAACTTACGAACGCAAGAGCTTCAGAATTCTGTGGGATACGGTGTCAATACTGTGTTGGTGCTGCAAGATACACGTGGTACTCCATCAGAGGTGCTGCAGAGTATGATGGGCCCAGGTTGCGAAGGCTATGTCGCATGCTTTCGTTCCTTATGAAGATCTCATTGAACTGTCTCCATCTAAGAAACTCTTTAGCGTGATGCTTATTTATGACAGCTATTCCGTCTACGAAAATGAAGAGATTATAGTGACACCAGCTGCTGCTTCAGTTACAAAGTTCGAACTTTCCGTTTTCGTTGATCCTGACGCAGATACCATCCAATACGAATACAACAGAAATCTCTTCGATCAGGAATACATCAGTAATCTTGCACAAACTTTCCAAAATGTAATTTGTAACTGGGATTATCACATTTCTCCCAAGGTAAATAATCCACTCCACATCGGACAAGTACTATACGACCCTTCCGACATCAAGAAACTCCTTGCACCCTTACCGGTCGAAGATCTGCGCTTCAGCTGTAGCAATGGAGTTGGACTGCACTACAGTAGTGACAACCAAATCGATGATGGCATCAGAAAGGCACTTGAAAAGCTACCGAAACCCCTTCGCCCGCAGAGAATAGTCTTCAGTAAGAAAATCATCGAGGAATTCCCACTTAGCCCTCAGCAACTTCAAATGTATTATCTTTCGCTTGAACACCCAGAAGCACATGTGCTTCCTTTCCTGAAGAAGTTCCCGAAGACAGTTCAGCTTACTCATCTCCACAAAGCTCTGCTTTACGAAATCCAACGCCATGAATCTCTCAGGACGATGTTTCTCGAGAAAGAGGGCCAACCAGTGCAAGTGGTGCTTTCCATGACAGAGGCTTACGTATCCTTGAATATTCAGAAGACCAGCTCACTAAAGGAAGTCGATTGAGCTGTTTGTGCGGACTCCGCTTGCACTAACTGGCGAAGTTCCCTCTTATGGTTGCTTTATTCGAAACGCACGACTACATCGCAGCTGCCTTGCTGCTTAATCACATCATTTCCGACGCATGGTCGACGACTATACTTGAGCAGGAGATGAACGCGATAATGCAAAGGCTCCAATGCGGAGAACGCCCTTCAGTAACCAGACAAAATCATTCCTATACAGACTACTGCCAAGAGATAAGAAAGGACGCAGAAATAGAGGAAGCATACATCAATGACTTGCTCAGTGCTGAAGCGATTCCTCATGTACAGGCTGAAGGGGAAGTTGAACGGCTGCAATTTGAATTTCCAGAGGCGTTAGCTGACCGCTGGACGAAGTCTTCCGGTGCCTCCTTGTTCACTGTAGTACTGATGATCCTCTCGAATAGCATTATGAGCATTTTTGGACTGAAAGTATCAACGTAGGTGCCCCACACTCCAATCGATCAGCAAAAACAAAGTCGATTGTAGGGTATTTCCTCAATAATTTGGTGTTTCACATAAATAAAAACGATAATGATGAGAATGGAGCACTTCATACACTCCAGCGTCACGTTGGAGAAGTATTACTGAAGAACATTCCTTTTGCCGAGCTCGTGACGTCCATGCGTCGGTTGAAGAGGCACCTGCAACCTCTTTTTCTATGTTTACTTCAACTGCAGATATGACTTAGAAAGTGATGAGGCCGACGATGAAGAAATCATGTCGATGCTGCCAGTGATTTCCGAGTTCCCACTGGAAATTGACCTCGATAAGTGCCTGGGTGGCTACCGTATTACGATAAGAACACAACAATGCTTACCTAGTGAGACTGGGAAGCGAATTATGGAGGATATTCAGAGGCAGCTCTTCTCAGCTGCTCTTCACAGCCTTTGCAATCCGCGGAGTGCAGCGGACCAGATTGCCTTGAAACAGTTGTGCGCATAGCGCTCAAAGTATTGGGTGTGGAAACTATCGATATAAATGAGAACTTCTTCTCTGCTGGTGGAAATTCACTGCAGGTAATCGCATTTGTAGAAATGCTCGAAGAATCTCTGAACGTGAACATAGAGATCGCTGAAGTATACGAAATGAAGTCTTTCTCAGAGTTCGCCAACCAGTTACACTCCAAGATATCTGCAGCCCAAGGCGGAGAATGTCATGAAGACTCCGAGGCAGAGATGTTCATGAAGCCTCAAACTCCTCCGAGAAGTAGTCCGACCCTCTCGCATAGAAAACAAGTATCAGAGGTAGGATACAGTCCCCAAAGGAATAACCAATGTGACATCCCCTCAATTAGCTTATCGAGTTTTTCTACTGGACCTGAAACGCCACGAGCAACGAGCTTGTATCACTGAACCAGGCGGTTCCGGGGTCTCCTATGCCGAGTTAGCAAGGATAATGGAGCGACAAGCAGCCTCCATCAGGCTTTCCTACTGCCAGGTCACAGGAGAAACTCTGCGCAATGACACCATCATACCAATCATTGGTGACAGCTGTGGCTCCACTATCATCACCCTCTTGTCAATATTATCAGCAGGAGCTGCCTATCTCCCAATTGATTCCACTTTGCCGTTGGAAAGAATCCTACTCCTCCTCAAAGAGTCCCACACGGAATGTTACGTTGGAGAGAGAATCGCAGAAATACCTCATTGCCACCTAACAACAACGTCATTCGCCGGAAGGTTCTCCCGTCTCTTGAGCAGCAGTTCGCAGAAAGACCTAGCCTATGTAATCTACACTTCTGGTACAACTGGTATTCCCAAAGGAGTTTGCATAAATCATGGAGCCGTGATGAACATGATGCGGTCCTCCACAAGCGATTTCCGCTTGAAACCTGATGACGTCATCTATCAGTTCACTAACTTCATTTATGACAACAGTGTTCTCGAAATATTTATGACATTAGCGAATGGGGCAAAATTAGTTGTGGATACGGTAGCATTCTCACCAAGACGATTTGTTGATCTCATGGAACAGTGCGCCATTACACATTGCCTTCTTTTTCCCGGAATAGTGGCTACATTTAGCCAGCGGCATTTCAGAAAACTTGCTGCTCTTCGGTATTGGATTGTTGGAGCGGAAAAGCTCCCACAACGAATGTTTGACATGGCCATTGAGGCTGGGGTAAGCGTCATCCAGAACTATGGCCCAACAGAAACCACTGCCTACGCATTGACCAAGCACATGAGAATCACGGATCTGTCAAACAATCTTGGTAAAGCGATTCGAAACACTGACTCGCGGGTTGGTGAAACTGGAGAGTTGATACTGAGAGGTAAAGGTATAATGCGAGGTTACCTGGGACTAGCTCGCAAAGACGTACTCTTGGAAGGATCCATGGTATCCAACCGGCGACCAGGTTCGACTTCTACCCAATGGTGACATACTTTTCATGGGACGGAAAGATAACCAGGTAAAAATACGGGGACACCGCGTTGAACTAGGTGAAGTCGAGGCTGTAATAAGCGCTACCAGAGGAGTAAAACAATGCGCGGTTGTTTTCAAGGAGGCAGATCAAGTTTTGCTGGCATTTATCACACTGGGTTCAGCAGAGGGTAAGGTAGAGGGTGAAGTTTTGGACTCGTGTTCAAAGCTGCTTCCAAACCACATGCGGCCCGCCCATGTGCTGACACTGGACGAGTTTCCGCTCACGAAAAACTCAAAAGTCGATGTGGCTCTTCTGAGTGCAGACTGGAAACGACATTTACAGAAAAACAGGCTCAATAAGTTAGTGCAAAGCTTCTTTGGGCGGACGATAAAGCCTCAGTCAAGCCTGGTTGAAGATGGTGGATGTACGAGACATGCTATTGAGCTGGGTTCTCTTTACATGAAGAAATATGGGCAAACACTTGATATAGCGCAGTTACTGGAAAGGCCATTGAAAGATGTTGGTGAAAAGCAGACTATGCTGGACAAAAAGGCAAGGAATTCGGAGAAAGTCAAGGAGAGGCTCAGGAAGATATGGAGGAAAGTCCTCAAACATGACACTTTCGGACTAGCTGATCACTTCTTCTTCAGCGGTGGCAATTCAATTTCACTCATAAAACTGCGTTATGAGATCAACACGGAGTTTCAAGCGCAATTCACCATTCGAGACCTCCTCAACTGCTTGGTGTTCAGCGAAATGAGCGCTATGATCGAATCAACAGGGAAGTCAGTGAGGATTGCCACTGTCGTTCACAACCCTCCGACACCTCGTTGCAGCCTTGTGTTTATTCATGCACTCTATGGAGGCAGCGCACCATACACGAATCTGATAAAGTGCTTGAGCCAAATGGAAAGTTTCCAGATCATTACTGTACAGCATCCAAATACCTTCGGATTCGAGAGCGATGATGTGAAGTTCTTCGAAAGCATAGAGTCGCTTGCTCAAAGATATGCTGCTGAGGTGAGGACATACTTATTTCAATTACTGTCATTCTCTTGGCTTGTTCGCTAGAAAATAAAGCAAGCAAAATATTGGCACTATTACCCCTTTCCTACCCACCCCATTAAAAATGCGGCCACATTTTGACCTAAGTTTGTTCCTGAATGAATACCGGAGTACCGGAATCCGGTAAATAAATTCTATTCTTCTTCTTCTTCTTTAGCGTTTGTCCCGCTCAGCGGCAGGGTCCGCTCTTCTAATGTGATGACGCCACTTTTCCCGATCAAATGCCTGATCGGGGTGAATTCCAGCTATTTTCAAGTCTGTATGCAACGTATCGAGCCAGCGCTGTCTGGGACGTCCCCTAGGTCGCTTTCCGGGCACCTCAAGCTGAAGGCCAGTCCTACAGACGGTGTCAGCCTTTGCGCGAAGTACGTGGCCGTACCATCGAAGGCGCGTTTCTCGCATTTTGTCAGCTATAGGAGCTATGCCGAACTTCTTGCGTATTACCTCGTTACAAATGCGGTCCAAACGCGTGACACCCGCAGTCCAACGCAA